CGAAAATGGCAGACCACCACACGGGACTGAAGGTCCGACCGAGGCAACCACGGTGGGACATGGCTGAATGCCTGTTTTAAACAGCAGCGCGCATTATGTCGCCAAACATGTTTTAGCACTGCGTGAACTCTGCTATCTGGACAAAAGAATCGCAAGACGAAAGAAGACCTGTTTTCTCCAATGCATGTTACAGTCAAACGGTTACCTACACTTTTGATGGCCGTCAACGATGCGATGGAATTGAGATCTTCCCGCAGTTTCACCGTTCCACAACCGCTGAGGCTTGTGTTCCGGGTCGCGGCAATCGGTAGATCTGTATGGTACCGGATGATAGTGGAACCATTGTGCTCCGGATTGCGACTGTCTTGTTGTCGGACACGGCAGTAAAATGTTCGGTGTCGGGGACTCCATAACACCGGAGGGCCACGGAGGCGGGGGGGCCGCCGGGCGAAGACTGGAGGCGGCCGATGCCGAAAACGGAGCTGGCGGAAAAAGCGCCACACAAAGAACACCCGCCATTCAGTTCAGTTGCATTGCCACCACCCCAAAAAGAGAGAATTTGTAATTCTTGCACGTGATCTGACCGACAGCCGGCCGGCCCAGGTTCGCCTGGAACTCGGCGTGTGCGGCGTGTGCGGAGACTAACCACAAACGGTTAGGTTGAATCACGCAATCGACATCAATCGCACGCAGTTCGGGCAGCGGCAACTTCAAACTTGTGAACTTTTTTTTTGTTAGTCGCGGGATGAACGCCCTCTCCCCAGTCTCAGAGACTTGATACCACCACAACGAGCAGGCATTGGATCCTTTTATTGTCGCCTTACACTAGTCCGTAGGGGGGGGATACAACCGGGGAGATGTGATGGGTTGGGATGTCCCGGCGCTGCGGAAACGGAGACAGTGTTTCTGATACTTACCTATTACCGGATCTTGGATGGCTCGATTGTTAGTGCCTCGAGGCGTCAAGTTCGCTTTGTAATAAAGCTGCTATCTCTTCCTTCTTCTTGAGTCACCTCCATTTTTTTTCCTCTGAAAGATCGTCTCTCTCTTTCTCTCCCTCTGTGTCAACCCCATATCTGCGTTGAGGAAGCAGTCATTGTGCTTCTCTTGCTTTTTGCGTTGATACGTCGTTGCGCGGGGCAATACCTTTTGAAGAAGTGTTTGTCTTCAAAGGGCATCATTATTTCTGTTTTTTGTTGTTAGTGATATCGTTATCGATACCCCCATCACCACAACGTCAAGATGCCGTCTCTCTCCTCCATCTCCGGGCCGACCTATGTCACCAGCCAGCTGCTTGTCCAGCAGACTGCCTACAAGCTCTCCGACAAGATCTTCTCCTACTCTCCCGAGACTTTCGACCTTGATGTCGCCGTGAAGGAATGGGCTGAGGCCAACGAGAAGAACGTCCATGGCGAGACCACCACCGTTGTCCCTCTCCAGACCAGGGCTGGTGCCGGCGCTTTTGCCCTTGGCTACATCTTTTCCAAGGACTTCGACTTGGCCAAGCGCCATGTCCCCCAGACCCTCCTGGCCCCCTCGTTGAGCCTTCGTCACCTCCGCTCTTCCCTCGACCAACTCGCCCTTCTCTACGGCGTCTCTAGCCCCTTTGTCGCCCATGTTGCCGCTGCCGACTACAGCGCCGAGAAGGGTCTCGGTGCCGACTACGCCACTGCTCTCCAGATCGCCGAGGACCTTGGTCTCGCTCTCGTCTCCAGCTCCTCTGCCTATGAGGTCCAGCACATGTCTCTGCTCGCCACTCTGCTGGCGTCTGTCCTCCCCACCCTCCACATCTACGACGGTATCCGCACCGCCCGCGAGTCCCTGAGGGTCGTCGATGCCCTTGGCGAGGCTCACATTGCCGATGTCTACGCCAAGATCTCCAAAGAGGCTGCTGCCCTGAACAAGAGGCTGGATACTGCTGGCAAGGTTGTTGAGCTTCTCAAGGCCTTCAACAACGAGCTCGGCACTTCCTACGCTCCTTTCGAGTACCACGGCCACGAGGCCCCCGAGACTGTCCTTGTCGTTTTCGGCAGCGCCGAGGCCCAGCTCGCCAAGCAGGTCGCTTCCGCTTTGGCCGCCGAGGGCAAGAAGGTCGGCACCATTGTCGTCCGTGTCTACCGCCCCTTCGTTGAGGAGGCTTTCCTCGAGGTTCTCCCCGCCTCTGTTCGCCAGATTGCTGTTCTTGGCCAGGTCGCCGATGCTGCCGCCGTCGAGGATGCCAACGTGCAGTCTGCCCTCTACTCCGATGTCCTTACTGCTGTCTCCTTCACCGACAAGCTGTCTCAGGCCCCCGAGGTCGTTGATGTCCGTTATGCGGTTACCGATGCTCACACCCCCAGCTCCATCGCCTCCATCTTCAACAAGCTCACCAGCAAGGGCGAGGCCGAGCCCGTCGCTTTCAGCCTGACCGCTGTCGAGGAGGCCCAGCAGTACGTTTTCTGGGATGTTGACAACTCCTCTGCCGCTGCTTCTGCTTCGGCCGTTGGCAGGCTCCTCGAGACCGAGCAGTCCAACAACGTCTATGTTCACCAGACCTACGACAACCTTGTCCAGGGTGGTGTTGTCCGCACCGACATCCGCGTTTCCCAAAAGTCCATCGAGGCTCCCTACCCTGTTGAGAGCGCTGACGTCGTCTTTGTTGGTGAGGAGAAGCTCCTCAAGGAAATTGCTATCGTCAAGGGTGTCAAGGCCGGCGGCAAGCTCATCGTTCGTCTTCCCAACTTCAAGGAGGACGAGCTTGAAAAGCGCATCCCTGCTGCTGCTCAAAAGGAGATTCAGGAGAAGGGCATCGAGCTCTACGTCCTCGACTCCTCTTCTTCTCCTGCTCTTGAAAAGGAGGCCGGCCTCCTTGTTGGCGTTGCCTTCCTCCGCGTTGCTCGTGCTGATATCACAAAGCTCGACTCGCTTTCCGCTGACCAGACCGCTCTGACCGAGGCCGTCAACGCCCTTGATCAGTCCGTTCGCAAGGTTGAGGTGCCCGCCAAGTGGGCCGAGGTCGAGAACACTGTTGCTCCTCTTGTTGACAGCGTCAAGCCCAACAGCTTTGTCGCCTTCCAGAAGGAGGAGGAAGAGGAGACTTCCAGCCTCGAGAACTGGCAGTCTGCCGCCAAGGGCTTCGCTTTCAAGGAGGCCTACGGCACCCAGAACCAGCTTCGCCCTGACCTCACCGTCAAGACCTACACCATCAAGGTCAAGGAGAACCGCCGTCTCACCCCTACCGACTATGACCGCAACATCTTCCACATTGAGTTCGATCTCGGTGACTCTGGTCTCACTTACAACATTGGTGAGGCTCTTGGTATTCACGCCGACAACGACCCTGAGCAGGTCCTCCAGTTTATCCAGGCTTACGGCCTCAACGCGGATGACCTTGTCCAGGTTCCTTCCCGCGAGGATCCCGCCGTTCTGGAGACGCGGACTGTTTACCAGTCCCTCGTCCAAAACGTCGACATTCTCGGCAAGCCTCCCAAGCGCTTCTTCGAGGCCCTCGCCCAGTTCGCCACCGACGAGGAGGAGAAGAAGAAGCTCGAGCGTCTTGGCAGCAAGGAGGGCGCCGACGAGTTCAAGCGTCTTACCGAGGAGGATACTGTCACTTATGTTGATGTGCTCGACATGTTCAAGTCGGCCCACCCCGACTTCAACGACCTCGTCCGCATCGTCGACCCCACCAAGCGCAGAGAGTACTCTATCGCCTCTGCCCAGGCTGTCACCCCCAACTCGGTCACTCTCATGATCGTCGTTGTCAACTGGGTCGATACCAAGGGCCGCACCCGCTACGGCCATGCCACCCGCTACCTCTCGGGCCTTGCTCCCGGCAGCACCATCACCGCCTCGGTCAAGCCTTCGGTCATGAAGCTCCCCGTCAAGGACACGGCCCCTCTCATCATGGCTGGTCTCGGTACCGGTCTCGCTCCCTTCCGCGCGTTCGTCCAGTACCGCGCCATGCAGAAGGCCCAGGGCAAGGAGATCGGCTCTATCCTCCTCTACCTCGGTTCCCGTCACCAGCGCGAGGAGTACCTCTACGGCGAGGAATGGGAGGCTTACCTCGACGCCGGCGTCATCACCCTGCTCGGCGCCGCCTTCTCGCGTGACCAGCCCGAGAAGATCTACATCCAGGATCGCATGCGCCAGACCGTCACCGACATCGTCAAGGCCTACATCAAGGAGGAGGGCTCCTTCTATCTCTGCGGTCCTACCTGGCCTGTGCCTGATGTCACTGCCGTGCTTGAGGAGGCCATCGCGGCTGAGGCTCAGGAGAGCAGCCGCAAGGTCGACCCCCGCAAGGAGATTGAGAGGCTCAAGGAGGATGGCCGCTATGTCCTTGAGGTGTACTAGGCGTGTCTTTTCTATTTAGAGTATCTGTGTGCCATGTGTTCTTGAGCGTGTTTGTATGTATGGGACTTGGTTCAACAAAATCTGGGTTGGGCGGTATTTTGGCAATGATATCTGGACAAAAGCAATTCATTTCATTGGCTCCAACATGATTGCCTCCCTATGGTGAAACCACCTAGTGAATAGTGAATGATGAATGGTGAATGTCACTGGAGAAATCTCGGAATGTGGTTGTTCTATTGGAGCCAAAGGGGTGTCCCTATAAAGCCTCTACAAAGCAGGGAAAGGCAGTGTCTACCCCGCATTTTTGCTCACACCCCGGACTGTCAATGGAGTAGCTCCGTAGATCCGGGGAACAGTTGTTAACGACAGCTGCACTTCCCCTCACAACAACCACTTATTCCCGGAAACCACTAGCCGTCGGTCTACTGCGATGTAGCAAGATTGGGGTAAAGGAGCTGAGGGGAACCGAGGGGAGCCGAGGTGATGTACCATGAAGCCTAAGATGGTTCACCGGTGCCGAGTGTCGGTGACGACTTCTTCTTCTTCTTCGCGGTTCATTGTTTCTCGCAGTTGACATTTGGAGAAACCTTAGCTATTCTTGCCTTTTACAGATTCTATCTAACGATTACATACAGAAATAACCACGTTTCAATCAGTATACAAACATGAGCGCAGCTATCCGTGTTGTGCCCAGTGTAAGTTAACCCACGATACATCCCACAGACAAGACAGAGTGACGTAGGTAGATCTGTAACTGACGATTCACAGAGGGCAGCCAGAGCAGTCAACTTGCTCAAGACAGTTCAATACACCCATCCTCCATCATGTCCATGCCACTCCAACCCAGGCTATCACCAAAACCAGACCCGGTCAACGGTGTCCCGATACAATGACAGGACCTCCCGGCGTAACTATGCCACACCCCAAGACACCTCCCAACTGAAGGAGTACGCCTTTGAAATGGCCGCCTCCTCCATCCGCTTCGGCCCTGGCGTCACGCAAGAAGTCGGCATGGACATTGCCAACCTCAACCCCTCCGGCACCGTCGCCGTTATCACTGACTCAACCGTCGAGAAGCTCGACGCTATGCGCCAAGTCCGCGAGTCTCTCGACCGGGAAGGCATCAAGTACAAGATCTTTAATAAAGTCAAGGTCGAACCCAAGGACTACTCCGTCAAGGAAGCCATCGACTGGGCCCGCACCACCGGCGACTACTCGGTCTACCTGGCCGTCGGCGGCGGCTCCGTCATTGATACCGCCAAGCTTATGAACCTATACTCGGTCTACAAGGACGCCGACTTTATGGATTTTGTCAACGCCCCCCTGGGTAAGGGACGTCCCGTGGACCGAAAACTCCACCCGCTCATTGCTGTCCCGACCACCGCGGGCACAGGCAGTGAGACCACCGGCACGGCCATTTTTGACTTGGTAGCCAAGAAATCCAAGACGGGTATCGCCCACCGCAACCTCAAGCCCTACCTGGGAATATGTGATCCGCTGAACACGCGGACGATGCCGAGTGCTGTGAAGGCTAGTTCGGGGTTGGATGTACTTTGTCATGCGTTGGAAAGTTACACGGCTATTCCATTCAACGAGCGGACGCCGAGACCAACAAATCCGATTCTCAGACCGGCGTATCAGGGCGCTAATCCCATTAGTGATATTTTCTCACTAAACGCGCTGAGGCAGACGGTAAAGTATTTGCCAAGGAGCGTAAAGGATCCGGAGGATGTTGAGGCACAGACCGAGATGTTGCTGGCGGCAACGTTGGCAGGTGTGGGATTTGGTAATGCTGGTGTGCATTTGTGTCACGGTGCGTCACTGTCTTTTTCCTCCTCCTCCTCTTCTTCTTTGTCTCTCTTATCCTCTTGAGTCATCATGCTTCTTGTGTAACCATTCTCTTGACTCATCATCATCATCGCTAACACTTCCCGCAAGGCATGTCCTACCCCATCTCCTCCCAAAACATTGCCTCCTACAAACACGCCGGCTACGACGTCCCGCACCCCATTATCCCACACGGCGTCTCCGTGGCCGTGACAGCGCCCGCGGTCTTCAAATTTACAGCTGCTTCAAATCCGGACAGACACCTTGCTGCCGCCGAAGCCTTTGGGGTGGATATCTCCAACGTCAAGCGCGAGAGCGCTGGCGAGGTTTTGGCAGAGGCCATCGCCAAGTTCCTGGCTAACTTGGGAGATCAACCCGCTGGTCTGAAGGCTTTGGGCTTCGGAAGGGAACATGTCGAGCAGCTGGTCGAGGGAACGATTCCCCAGGCAAGAGTCTTGATGTTGGCCCCAGGACTGGCGAAGGAGTTGCAGGCAGAGAGGGAGCAGTTGGGACGGTTGTTTGAGGATGCGTTGGAACATTAATTATGGGTGTCTGGTGAGGCAGAGGTGGTGCCTACCTCTATGGATAATGGGGGATGGTGTAGGTTGGGTTGATATATCGGGGTTAGGTTGTTAGGTAGAGGTATGCTGGTAGATGCAGACTGCATGAATCGATGCAGATATCTGCAACAACGATGAGTTGGGGAGAAAGGGGGGATCTCGCTTGTCTGAGCCAACTTCCTTATTTGTGCCTTCTTTTCACTTCCTCCTCCTCCTCCTCTTCGTCTTCATCGCATCATCCCCTCGACAGCACTGCCCGTAATCAAGTTCAAATCATGGACAACATCTAGAGGATACAAAAGATGATCTTGAACGAAAAACTCTTCTAAACTTCTTTCCTCCCTTCTAAACTCTTTGCTGTCTCTTTACTTTGCTTTCCTCCTAGCTTGATCGCAAAGGATGTATTCATCATCTAACTCCGAGGTCACCGAGCCTACCTACACCCCTTCCCAATTCTCCCAGCTCTTCAGCTGTCTCACCTCCACGATGCCGTCCCCTATAGAAACCCCTGGACCCCGGGGGACCAACGCCATCAACAACATCAGCGACACTAACAAGGACAAGGGTGCACCCAACCCCAGAGACGAAGCGACACAGTTGAGAGTTGGAGTTTCAGGTCGAGGAACACATCCACTTCCGGTTGAGTTTCCGCCTTTAGCCGCATTTGAACATGCAGGAATACTCTCTACGGCTCCTGATGAGGTGTTGCCAGGTACCTTTATGATCACCGACGAACACCGCAGAGATGATGATGATGATGAAGATGAAGAAGGAGAAGAAGGAGATGAGATCCTCTTCATGCGGCCGAGCCCTAACAGCAGCCACGCCTCCAGCTCGCGGGTTGGTACTATGTCCCGAAGCAGATATAGTATGTTAGGGACCACACAACGGGATGGGAAAGATGAGAGTGACAGTGACAGCGACAGTGATGGTGGTGCTCCACTCTTTACGCCCTCTAGAGATAAAACCCTCGGCAACAGCGGCCGTGAAGAAAACCGAGCCAAAAGATTCGATGGTTCAGATCTCGGTTGTCCAGCACAACTGGATGACAGACACCAACAAGAGTTCCAGCATGGCCACTGGGCCAATTCGAACACAAAAGCAGATGCTCTGAACATATACCACCACCGACCCAAGACGCTGCTTGCCTCATTTCGCCCTGGGATTCCATTAGCGCTAGGAATTCGAACCGAACCTGATCCTGATGCCCATCCCGCGTACTTTTCGACGCGCTTTATAGTCCAACGCGCTGTGGCACGGTTGCAGGCACGACGACTCAACGGTCTCTCTTCTTTAGATTATCCGGAGCGGATCGAATCCTTGACAGATGGCGAGCAGCAGACGAACGGCGTCGAGCAGCATCATATCAACGGTAGAGGTACTTATTACAACCCCCCTGCAAGCCCTCTTCCAACCCAAGCTTCCAAACCGCTCACCACAACTACCACTACTAGAAAACCCAACTACTCCAGACCGCCCACAGAAACTTCCACTACCGAAAATCCCACCGCCTCCATCCAACTAGGACCCTTCACCCTCTCCCCTTCCGACGTCGCCCTGCTCGCCTCGTCTGAAGCGTCCTTTGAACGTCTAACGACGCCCAAGTTCCATCCTGCTTTTAGCGGTAGCAGCAGCAGCAGTAGTTACTCCCATCGGGAATCTCGCCTGGTTCAAGATAGCGCGGAGGAATGGACGGATGTTTCACTTGATGGTGGAGGTGGAGGTGGACTGTCGGAGGAGAAGAAGAAGAAGATGAAGAAGGAGGAGGAGGAGGAGGAGGAGGAGGAAGAAGAGAAAGAGGGAGAAGAGGAGGGGGAAGAGGGAGGAGGGGAGGAGGAAGAGAAAGAGAAAGAGGAGAAAGCGAAAGACGGGGAGGAAGAGAAGGAGGGAGATGAAGAAGAGTGGGAGGAGGAGGAGGAGGAGGGAGAAGAGGAAGAGGGAGAAGAGGAAGAGGGAGAAGATGAAGAGGAAGAAGATGGAGAAGAGTGGGAGTGGGTGGATCATCCAATGGATAAGTATCGTGTAGGGTGTATGCATAATTATATGGAGAGAGACAGGGGGTATGTAAGGAATGAGGGGTTTGGAAGGAGGGAGGAGGAGTAGGAGGAGGGAAGGTAAGAAGACAGTACTCACACGTCGAGTAAGTCTAGTGGCGCTCAGCCATCTGAATGGGCAGGTTTCTTTTTGGAGGATAATAGCGTTGATATTGATGAGGGGTTTGCGGATGTTCGTCCTGGTCGTGTGATGAAGAAGCCAGCGTAAGTGGAAAGTGACGGAGAAGAGACTTGGATAATTTCGAGAACGTCATTTGGATACCGAGAGGGAAACGCGATAGTAATACACGTATGGGACCCAAGGTAGCAATTTAAGTGTATCCTTGGAAAGAATCGATTGTGCAAACGTCTGTCATTCATACAAGTGAATTGAATAGAGATGGACATCATGGGAAGAGCGTGAATGGATACCTCCATGTTGGGAATATCTCCAAGTTACCCAACGTCTATTGTGCCTTTGGCACCTGCACAATCAAAGTTCACTCACAGTTGTAGTCCCCTAATAACTTCTAGCAGCCTGGGTAATCCAACAACAACAGCAACAACACCATCAAATAAGCTCATGCCAAGTACCGAGCATCATCTCTCCTTCTCTTCGATTTATCCAACACATCCAACTTTTTCAAAAAATCCATCCGCAACTTCATCCTCTTGCGTCCATGCTTCTCCAGCAATCTTCTCTCCACCTCTTTCGCCTCCTCATCCATCTTCTTCCCCTTCTTAATCCTCCTCTCCCACCTCTCCAGCAACCGCAACCCTTCATCGTCAATCTCCGTCCAAATCCCCGGCACATTATCCGGCAACCCCCCTCCGGACTCCAACGCATCGATTGCCCTACCGGCCAGATAAGGATCGTGCGCTGTCACCCGCATGCCCCGGACGCAGTGCCGCTTCTTGTAGCCGCGGGCGAGGTAGCGGTTGATGATGGCTTCGGGATCTTCCGAGGCAATGCCGTCGCCTAGGTCCAGGCCGGTGTGAGGTGGTGGTTTTGGTGGGGCTGTGGATTGTGGATGTGGTTTTTGGTGGCGGTCTTGGTGGCCGGCGGAGGCTGCGAGGGAGGATCGTGAAGCAGAGGGTCGGGGAGGGGCATGCGAGGATGCTTGTGGTTGTGCCTGGCGTGAGGTTTGGCGTTGTGGGGCAGGGCGCAGGTTGCTGCTGCCTTCGTCGTCTGCGGCGTAGGGATCGGGGGGAATACGGAAGCGAGGTGGTGGGCTACGAGAGGCAGGTGCGGTATCTCTTGGGGGAAGTTGTCTGCGAGCTGTTGGGATTTCTATGGAGGGGCGAGGGACAGAAACAGGGATGGGAGAGCGTCTTTGCTCGGGAGGAGGCCGAGGAGAGTTGATAGGCGGGCCGAAGGCGTCGCTGCTTGAATCGAAGTCCGAGTCTGAGGAGATATATTGGGCCTGTGTCGTTGAGCTTGGTTGGAGAGCAGATTTTTTCTGCGCTGATGAAAGCTTCTGAGATCTAGAGGCTGAAGAAGATCGTAGGGACAGAGCCTCTTCCACTGTGGGCTGCCAGGGTTGTTGTGGCTGCGTGATGAACGGGTCTCCATCCTCCTCCCTGTACTCATCCACTCCATAGTCTTCCCCATCATCTCCAAGGATGGGCATATCGTCAGCAGCATCGTCCTCGTTGTCTTTGTTGATCAGGGCGACATCGGCAGCCAGTTCTGGCCTGGAGGTTGCTTCCGGAATTGGTGGGAGCGGAGATTGCCATCTCTTAGGCGGCGATTCTGGGACCTCGTCCTCCACATCGTATCGTGGTCGCTTACTTGTCATTCGGTCCAGCGGGGAGGTCATGATCTGATCAGAGTTCCTCTTCAAAGCCCCTGAAGATTTGAGGGCCCCTATGATGGGAATGGGTGGAGAGGACCTAAACTCGGTGGTATTGGGGTCTTGACGTAGGGTAGTGTCTTGTGCTTCATTAGCATCATCCTCCTCTTCTTCCGCCTCAATTTTGTCATTGTCCACCTCTTCACTCTCTTCTTCTTCTTCTTCTTCTTCTTCTTCTTCTTCTTCTTCTTCTTCTTCCTCGATATCCTCGTCTGTCCCTTGATTGAGCTCAAACGATTGGGCTTCCTGAAACTCCTTGTAGTAGTTTTCGAATTCAGCAAGGTGTTCCTGGAATGCTGTTTGTAGCTGGTTGGGAACATCTGGCTCGGCGATCCAGTCAAAGTCCAACAGTTCGGCAATCTCTTGCCAGTCCCGTGCATTGGCAGGCACGTCCTGTTCCGTGACCGCCGTCCATAGATCCCACATGTCAACAGCTTTACCCCCAATTATTACCCAAGTGACTGGATTGGCCTCAATGGCCTCTTTATACCGGTTGAGATATACGTAGAACTGCTCTCTCGGTGTTTGTGTGGGCTCCGAAACTCCCTTTTCAAGTGGGTGTCCGAGATCAACGGACCCTTCATCCTCACTATACTGCTGAGACTGGGACTCAAAGGCAGGTGCACAAGCCCATCGGACCAAAGCACCCTGTGCAAGAGCCTGGAACATGATTAAACTTTGCCGGTCGGGGTCTTGTTTCCGGGCCTGGTAAGATCGCCACGCTCGTTGAATGATAGAAGCACTCTTAATCTTCTTCTTTTCTCCATGAACCAAGCGAGCTCGCTTGTTTATTTCTTCGAGCCGCGAAGGTGTCGAGCGAGGCGGGGAGTGTTTGTGTGCAGAGCTTGTAATTGTAGCTTTTACAGGGCCCATGGGTGAGCTCCAGCTCTTTGTAGGGACATCCTGACGCGTTCTATGCAAAGCTGCTGAAGGTCGTCTCTTAGCCGCGGCTTGATCAGCACTCTGAGGCGTCGCTTTTACTTGGGGGTGAATGGTAGCCCTTGGAGTGGGCCTAGGAAGGCTCGGCTCAGGAGGATTCGGAGCCGCAGGATCATCTTCGTCCAGGTTCGTTGTAGCCTGTAGGATTCGAACCCATCTGTTTCGCCAAGACTGCCAACTGTGACGTGGGTGTTGCTCCGCGAACACCTTGTAGATGAGGTTCCCCTGTAAGCTTTCTCCTTGCCGTTTCATCTGCTTGAGGTATCGGATGAAATCCTGGTCATCGTCTTGGGTGAAGGTGACTCTGCCGGTGGCGGGTGCAGACACAGCCTGTGAGCGGTCTGGGGCTGGTGTGTGTACTGTGGTAGTTGTTGCGGGAGGCGTGCCGGGTCTGACATTCTCCTCTTTGCGGACGGGTGCAGGGGCTTGAGAAGGCGGTGGTGCTGGTGGTGGCGGCTGATAGTTTTGAGGAAGCATTTTAGCTAGAGCGTGCCTGTGTTGATGATCGTATTGCTTCGTGAAACGATCTCTCCATGACTGCCATGTGTGTCGGGGGTACTTTTCGGCAAGGTCGATGTAGATCTGGTTGCCGCGGATATAGGCGCCTGACCTCTCCTTCTCCAAGACCCAATGAATCAGGAGGTTGTCGTCCTGTGGTGTATAAGGGGTCCGGGTGCTCTTGGTAGACGTGGCTGAGCCGCCAGGACGCACTCCCTTGGCAGTGGGATGGTCGATTGTGTAAAGGTCTTTGTCGGCCAGCTGACCCTCACTGATGGAATCTGTGATGTACTTCCAAGACAGCGAGCCAGCAGGGGCAAAATTTTTCTTGGCATGGTCTGCAATGAGAATATCTGCATTCTTTTCCAGTTCTACCTTCTTCCCTCCATGGGCCTATGTGAGATGTCAGTGATGTGGTCAGGCGCAAACAAAACAATTGCACAACTTACGTACCTTGACTGACTCAACCAAGGACTGGCGAGCTGGCACTTTTAGGGAGATCCAAAACTTGAGTCCGTTGAAGAGAGTGCCCTCGGATTGATTTTTGCTGTTGTTCCCATCCGGAGTCTTATTGGCTAGGGCCCCTTCGTACACGATTCCGGCTGACGGCATCTTGAAGTGTGACTGATGGGCTATTGCCCTAACCCTGGGTCTGAGCTCTTCCAGTCACTTGACAGCGCAAGAAACAAGGGCTTCATCTGTACACTTTAATTCATGGTTGTGAAGGGTGGAGGGCTTGAGGGTAGAGCGTGGTTAGTTTGTTGGTTTATTATGGGTGTTTGGGGATGGCCTCACTTTGTTGTTGTGAGCGTGGCGTCCGTTGGGCACAGTCAAAGTGAAGCGTGCGTTGGCGTGCGGGCGGATCACGGTGGGCCAGCCAACCCGAAGCAGAAGTGAAAAGCAGATGACGGAGGGAGAAGCTGTACCTCAAGATGGATGTTTGATGAATGAAGCATTCGATGTCAGCATCAGAATCGATGGAACCTTCGACCTGTGTGAACTGCCGTGCCTTCCCTCTCTTTGTTTGCGCGTGTTTGGCGTGGAGATTCGACCCTTCGTCGCGCTCTCACGGGGACAAACAGGGCTCTGACCCTAACCCTACAGGGCTTTAAATCTTAAATAAATCTCCCCCTCGAGGCATCCAAAACAACAGAATGTCGGTCTTGGCATCGACGACGACTGAGGTGGTCCGAGCTGCCAAGTCACAGAGCTGACATTCACTCAGTCCATCGGTCTTTGCGTTTGTCACTCCATTGTCTCAATGATTCCCCCCATATCCTCCTCTTCTTACTTCTAATTCTTGCCATCTTTTTTATTCTGTTCATAAAGTCTTTCCTTGGTGATTCCCAGTTCATTCCTCTCGGTTTGCCCCTCCTGAGAACAGCTGTATGTTGACGGGGGTGTTCGCTGGCCGAGACACCCGCGGCCTCACAAAGAGAGGAGACCCAACTTCTTGGGTTTACCAACTGAACTGGAAACATTACCCTCCACCTTTAGACCTTATTGATTTGGGCAAGACTCATCCATAATTACCAAGTCGTATTATGATTTTCACCTCCCGGATCAAAAGTGAAGGAAAAAACGGGGACTCGACACCATGGGCACCATCGCAATCATCGCCGCCGTCATCCTTGGCATCTCATTCATGACCTTTGTGGCCTTTTTCGGCAGACTACCTGCACTACGGTACATCAACCATCCTCTCACCCAACTCCTCGATCATGATCATAATTGCTAACTCTGTGATAAAAAGAAACACTCCCATCTCCTTCCTCCACCGCCTCATCTGGATTCACCTCCCCAATGGCCTCCTCACCGTCGACCGCACCTTGACCAACGGGCGCCTGACCACCTCTCTCACCCGCCTCGGCCGCCACCTCTGGTACGACCAACATCCGACCATCCTCATCTTCTTCTTCCTCTTGCTTTCCGTTGGCGAATATCTCTACCTGCCCGTCGCCTGGCCTCACTTCTCCTTCACCCACAAATTCTTCGGTACCATCGCCATCCTATGTCCCTACCTCTTCCTCTACCTCTCCGCCTTCACCGACCCGGGCGTCATAAACGCCAAGACCCATGTCCGCGAAATGGCCCGCTACCCCTACGACTTCACCCTCTTCCACCCCGGCACGAGCTGCGAGACGTGCCGCCTCCTGAAACCCGCGAGGTCGAAGCACTGCAGTATCTGCAAGAAGTGCGTCGGAAGGATGGACCACCACTGTATCTTCATCAACAACTGCGTGGGGGCCAACAATCAGCGGTGGTTCATTTTGTTGCTGCTTAGCACGGCCATCCTCACCCTCTACGGCGGGGTTCTGGGGCTGGTGATTATCCGGGCCAAGATCCAGGCGAGGTTCCCCTACTGGACGTTATTACCGTGGTGGACTTCCACTCAAGCATGGAACAACGGCGACCTGGATTTTCATCGGTGGTTGCTCCTCTGGAGCTGGGGCTTACAGTCGGGAGTGGCCATGGGGGGCGTTACCTTGTTGGCGCTGCTGACGACGCCGTTGGTTTGGGGGTTGCTGGGGTACCATTTGTGGCTGGTTTATTGTGGGACGACGACGAATGAGAGTATGAAGTGGCAGGATTGGCAGGCGGAGATGGATGAGGGCGGGGTGTATAAGCGGCGGATGGCGGCGGATGGGAGCAGGGAGAAAGACCTCAAGGTCGAGCCGGCGTGGACGAGGTGGCCCGTTGAGGCGGAGCAGCTTATGGTGAGGACGGAGGATGGAAAGCCCCCCAGGTCGAGTCATCGGTTGCCGGGTGAGGGAGAGTGGGAGGCCGTTTGGAGGTTGAAGGATGTGGAGAATCTCTATGATATTGGGTTTTGGGATAATCTTGTCGATGTCTTCTTGCCATATTTCATGTTCAAGGAGTCAAAGGGTAGGAGTCCTGTTGACGAGCGAGAATTTGGGAGGGAGAGAGGGAGGAACAGGAGACGGAGTTCTTGAGTGGTGTTTTGAAGTTCGAGATACATAGACGTGTTGAGAGCAGATAGATGCTGGCATATAGAGACCAAAATGTGTTTTTCACCTTGTCTTCGGGCAAAATAAGGAGATTTGCGATGATTCTCAGGTTTCCACGTTCCAAGGGGGTATCAAGTCTATTGGCGTTGCTTCAAATCGTACATAAATAATACAGTGACTTCCAAGCGGACATCAGATCGTCCACCTAGAACGACGCTTTCTCCCGGCTTCCCTTAGACCCTGCTGTCCCTTGATGCGGCGTTGCCCATACGATCTGGTCAAATGGTATAATCTTGCTTACCGTCGGCGCCGGCTTCGTCACCACACTACCCAGCTCCGGTGCCTCCTCATCTGCCAGCGCCCGCTCGTCCCTAACCAGACCAGCCATCTTTGCAATCGCCAATCGTGCGCCTGCAATACCCAGCCCAGCATTCCTCGGGTCACCCGCGCCTGTCACCCACAGCTCCCTCTCCCACCCTTTACCCTCCACCCACGTCAAACTCTCCTCCTCAATCTTCCTCAACTCCTCCCACACCTTGACACACATATCCCCAATCGATCCCTCCTTCCTCTCCTTTCCTGTCCCCTGGCGATACTCCTCCATCGAGTCAATCTTATCCGCCTTGGTCAAGATCACCGTCGTCCTGACACCGGCATCCCTCAACATACCCAACACTGTCCTATCATCCTTCTTGACTCCCGCCACCGAATCAATCAGCACCACGGCGCCCTTCAGCATCTTCCTCTTCTCCAAATACTTGGTAATCTCCTTGCCCCACTCCGCCTGCGAGTTAAACCCGTAGCCGGGCATGTCCACCAATATCAGCTGATTCGTCGGTTTCCTTTCCTTGTTGAACTTGTTCTTCTCCTCCCTCTTCTCCGACCGCGACTTGATCGCGTGTGACTCCCCAGCCTCCGGCTCCGCCTCCTTCTTGGGCGGCGCCACTTTCGGTGGCGGGCCAAACCCGTATGCGTTCATCGTCTTGGTGCTACCCGCGTGTGCGGACGTAATGGCCCGTCCGGCCCGGCGCGCTTCGAGACCGTGGGCGCGACCGGCGGCGGCGCCAGCGGCGCCCGATAAAGCGTTGATCAAGGTGGACTTGCCCACGTTGGAGCGGCCCAGGATGCACACTTCGGGCACGTGCGTGTTGACGGGGAAGTTGAGGAAGCGAGGGGCGGCGTACATGAAGTAGGGTTTCTGGCAGGTGAAGATGTGGGTGGCGGCGAAGAGGGAGTTGGCGGTCGGGGCCGGGGCCGGGAGGGCGCGCTGGTTGGGGTCGTTGGAGGGGGGTGGGAGGAAGGAGAAGGATGATGGCGCTTTTTCGACTGGCCCGGTCTTTTTGATCTTCTTGGGCGTTTCTTTGGGTTTCTCTGCTTGTTTGTCTTTGGATGTCTCCGGTTGTTTCGCTTTGAGTTTCTCTGGTTGCCTGGCTTTAGGCTTCTCTGGTTGCTTGGCTTTAGGCTTCTCTGGTTGTTTGGCTTTGGGTTTTTCGGGTTGCTTCGCTTTGGGTTTCTCCGTTGGCTTTCCCTGGGGCTTCCCCGGTTGTGTGGGTTGAGATCGCGACGTAGATCGTGCCGCCGGGCGTTGTCGTGCTGGGTTCGCTGTCGTGGAGCTGAAGAGACATATGGAGGAGATCGGGGCAGCGACTGTGACAGGTCGGGATGCTGCGAGTTGTCGGAGGACTAGGGACCTCGGGTTGGGAGGCATGGCCAAAATACTGGCCATTGTCCTTTGGTATGTCATGGCGGAGTATGCTGCCGACAACTGAGGCAATCGGAATGTTGTCTGGCGCAACAAGACAGCAGTGATGGGAGAGAGAGTCGCAGATTTCAATTCGACTTTCTTTCTGTAATTGATAAGGTATGCCATGCTAAGTCCCGATAACACCATCTTGCCTGCCGCGGAGACTAATCATCTTCCGATAAGCTGTTTAATATCAGGGGTTAGGGTTATAGGTGAAGTTGGATGGAGCTCTACTAGGAAGCTCGGGACATTTTTCTGGAGCGCAAGTTGGAAGTCCAAACTGACCTCATCTTCAATCCGCCATCGCATCTCGTCGCGTCCTCTTCCAGTCCACACCCGCCCGCGTTCTGCCGTCGCAAACTCTCCCACTTCCTACTTCCGTCTCAAACCCGACCACTACCCATCACCACATCATCGTCACCCAACCAGACTAAGCGAACGCCAACATGTCTGCCGCAAAGACCAACATCCTCCATCTCTACCGCGCCCTCCTTCGCGAGCTCCCTCCCCGACCCTTGCTCACCACCCCGCGCGCTCCCCTCCACCAGCGCCTTCGCGACTTCGTCTCTTCCGCCGCCTCCCCCGCCTCCGCCGGCGCTAGCACCCCCGTTCACAAACCCTCCGTCGCCGAAGCCGAGCAGCTCCTTGCCTATCTCCAGGCGCAGCGGGAATACGTCACTTTGCTGGAGCGTTACAACCCCGGCATGGGTATGGACGAGGAGACGAGGGTCAGGCTGACGGCCAAAAGGGTGGGTATGGACCTGCCCAAGGAGTTTCAGGAAGGGGAGGAGGACAAGTAAACTGTGCAGGGTCAACCGCGCCATGACCGCACCGTGTGCGGGTGTACAAGAAGGAAAGACTGTACTATTGCTGGGTTGAACTTGGATGGAAGAAAGGCGTTATGGGAGTTCTGTCTGTTTAGACATGGGATTGGGAAGCCAAGGAAGACGGGGTTTGGAGCCGCGACAATTGCTTTGGTTGAGCAGGAGAAGGGGGGAAAGGGTTTGGGATGGAATAAGATCGGGTCCGACAAATACCATGACGGCGATGGCATCGACAAAGACCAAGCATGATGTGCGAGATCCCAGATCAGATGACCGATAGGATCCGAAATCGATGGAAGCACGGTTTGGGAAGGAAGGGGGGATTCGAAAGACCTCAAAAGGCCAAAAAAGGCTCAGTCGCCCAAGTTTGGAGTTGAACTTGAGACCAGCTGCAACTTTCAAGAACTTACAGCCTATACCGCGCATCTGAAGTGTTTTCAGGCTCCCGCACACCATATCGCTCGCTTGACCACGCACAAAGCGGAACAGGTAGGAGAGTTATTGCGGGGTCTGGGCTTGCGGCTTATATGGTTCAAGGTCTGCCGTCTGGACGTTCGCCCGCTTACCGATGCCGGGACTTGCGAACGAGTATACGTGGAGTTTGCTACCGGTCGTCGACGCAATAGGCGGGACACTTCCGAGTTTGACTTGCACTCGTGAACGACAACCGACAGATGCGACTTTATCTTCTTCGACATTGATCGTACTAGGATTACCAATGTGATTATTGCCATGGTCATTGATATCACGAGTTCGTCGAGGTTCCAGATGTGATGATCAATAGACGGAAGAGTGCTTGCTCACAGTTGAGGATCCACCTCCAGTATTGTGCCATCACATGCCGGGAAACCCGAGTCAACAATGATCTCACTCACAACATCAGGAGGATATCACCTATGACCATCACCATCTCCCCGGCCGTGTTTGCCTTCGCCATAGTGAACAGGCGCTTTGCTTCCGCCATGGCAACAATATATCTTGCCGTGTCGTTTTCGTCTGAATCCACTACACCCCATTCCTCCGACCTTCGCACATCCTGGCCAAGTGAGACTTCGTGATGGGACCATCTACTCGTACCGAGGTCACTCGAGCAAACAGTCTACAATATAGGACTGAATTTGCCCTGCCTGAACAGGACCATGGCTTGAGGTTCCAAGCCAAGATGCCTCAGTTGGAGGAGGGCCCTGTTCAAGATATCCTGGTTGAACTGCTATTTGCGTCCACAGACCATGTTTCCGCCGGTTTGACGCTATCGCCATTTTCTAGCAGTCTCTCCTCCGCCAAGTCAGTGCCCAGCAGACTACCTGCTTGTTTTCCCACCAGAACCATCAGAAACAAATCCCAATCTTCAGTACTTCCTCATCTCCACTCATCCACTTGGTGTCCTTGTGTTTTCATCCCTCTCGATACCAACAGACTCATCCGATACATCGCCTCGGCTTCCATCTCTACCTCCGGGGCGGGCGGGAGCCGATTACCATCCCCCTACTCACCGTCAACACTCGTACGCCATCGCGGCTCATGGTTCTTCCACTATAAGAAGATCTCTACTTCTCTTCTTCCGGTAACCATCTTCTTCTCCTGGTCCTCAACGATATCCTCAACAAGCCTCGGGTAAGCCGGTTCGACAGCGGCCTCATTCTCTGCTATTATCTTCTCTCATATCCTTTCCTATTATCCTTTCCTATCATCTTTTCCTTCGCCGGACATCTATATTTCCCTCAAAACATCATATCTCCTTCAGCTCATTATTCACACGCCATCCGTCTTCACTCAACTACAGCGAGTGCCAAACTTGAACACTTCGTGGCCATCGGATCTGATTTGAGGCATCCGTCTCTCTTTCACACTGAGACATCCAGAGGATCGCAGACCATGGACGACCTTACGCCGCCACCCAGTCTCAATGGAGACGGGCCAAATCAAGAAGGGCCCTGCACGAACACGCAATGTGCCCATGCTCGTGGCATTCTAGTTGGACTTAACGACACTCTCCGAACCGAGAGGGATCGAGCCCGAGAAGAAGCAGATGACCTCAGGAGAGAGGTTAATAGGTTAAAGGCGAAAAAAGCAAAGCACACACAAGTGGTATGTAATAGCAAAGTAAATTTGGACACTGGAGAAGTACTGACATCAACTAGACCTGGCCAGAAATGCTACGCCAACACATTGCAACCAGACAACCGCCATGGAAAACAGTATGGAAACAATGCAATAAGGAGGAGAATATGAGCGTGCGAATCAACTGGGTGCATCCCAATATCAAGTTCGTTACGCCAGAGGAAGGAGAGGCAGCTGTTCTAGATGCAGCCGTTCCAGATGTAGCCGATCCAGATGCAGCCATTTCAGATCCATCTGGTCCTGGACCCGGCCACCACAGACGGTTCAACTTCAATGCCCTCCCAGCCGAGGTCCAGGCCAGGATATTCAAGCTCTGGTTATTCAAAAAGGGCAAACTTATCCACGTTATTTCCCGACTCGACCCCTTCGTCCCAAACGAGGACTTTCCAGAGGAAGCGGCGCTCAGAAACCGAAGTGGTCTCAAAAATGTCTTTTTTGGGGGGGAGCGGCGCTGTAATATCACTGACAGCGGGCAAAACCCTAATTCTCTGCTCCGTGTCCTTCTTGTATGCCGTCGATTCTTCTTCATTGGCATCCACTGCTTTTACGGCCTCAACTCATTCGCTTTCTCCAGCTTGGGCGAATTTTCACGGTTCTGTCAAGGGATCGGTCCGGCCCGTGTCAGCCGCTTACAGCACCTTGAGATTACACTGATGGGAAATCAATACCTGACCGTTCCTTTGGACCGAAATGGTCGTATCCCTGTCTCGCGCCGCACCTCCCCTCTCAGCTTTCTCCTGGACTGTCATCGTCTCAAAAGTCTGGTTATTTTCGTCAATGAAAGCGAGAAGACATATACCCGTTGTCGGTATGAAAATTCAATAATCCAGGACTTTATGGTTCGCCAAACCGCTGGCCAGCCTAACCAGCGCAAGCATCGCGCCCTCCGCTGCATCCAAGGAATGGATTTCATCTATGCCCTCCGTGGTCTGGAGTGGATTCGCTTTTATGACTTGTATAAGGCCATTGCATCTACGTCCAGGACCGCTATCCGTGAGCCAGTAGCCGACTGGTCGTTCGTCGAGGACGTTACGAATACTGCCACTATGCAGAAAGTGCCCAGCCGTCGGGAAAGCTCAAGACTGGAGAACCTGGAGCCTCTTTTTAGTGATAATGGCCAACAAGAGGCTTGGAACCCCGGCCAGGCAGATTGGGAACTCGTCAAAAGCTTTTATATCGACAAATGGTCGTATGACCAGTTAAGACAAGACTCTCCTCATATTCCGTCGCATATGAGTGCGAGTAGTGATCCAAGACAGGGGCATTCTTTGAGTTCGAGCTCAAGTTCTTCTTCTAGCGGACCGCACCATGGGCGTGCAGGTCCGGCTTTGAGTGCCGCAGGAAGCTCCATGACCGACGCTATTGATCTTGGTAATTCGGAATCCACCCCCGGTCCCAATACAGAAACCGACTTACCACCTAGAAGTACTACCGGAAGGGTCGCCAGTGTGATGATCGAACTCTCATCTGATTCAGAGTCCGACTCAGACGACGATAACCTCTTTGTTAGCCAGCGCAACTGCCAACCCCAATACCAACACCAGCTCAGTCCAACCCCCCATCCCTTAGAAGGGGGCCCCAGCGTCACGGTATCCGTCCCAGCCCGCCTCCATTCCCTGACCCCCATGGGTTCTATGACTTCCAGTCTCCTGGACAGAGGCTTCTCCGTCCCAGCCAACCTTGGACGCCTTGAAACTCCTTCTTCAGGACTTATTACACCAAGAGGACCCCAAAGCTTCGCTTCGTTGCTTAACATCCAACCAGCGTCGTCGGCGGCGAGGTACTTACCTCCTAACAACCCAGCTGCTCTGGAATCTGCTAGTGTTGTGGCTTCAAGGAGGGGTTCTATGTCTTTGTCCATGTCGAGGTCGCTTTCTAGGTCACTTTCTAGGTCGGTTTCTAGGTCGGTTTCCAGGTCAGGGTCGTTGGTAATTGAGAGAGGGAATGGAAATGGAAGTCGAGCGGGGTCGGCGTCTACTTACAGAATACGGTTACGGTATAGATCTTCAGGGAGTTCGGGATCAGACCTATTCGTTAGGCAGACTCCGAGGCTGTCCGAGAGGGAGAGTGTTGATTTGACGAATGTGGATGAGGATGGCGAGGATGATGGTCATGGTGGTGGTGGTGGTGGTGGTTTGCTTGGGAGAAGTAGAGGTAGTGAAAGTGGGAATGGGGAGTTGATGACGATTGATGAGGGTGATGATGAGAACGGGGATCAAGACATGGAGGGTCGGGATAGCGGGTATGAAGGGGCGGATGATAGTGATGTTGAGATGGTGGATTCGGTTTAGGCTCAACTCCATTCTAATGAGGCGTTGGAGGATGGAACTGAAGATGTCTTTACTCGGGAATGATATGCATGTTTCGTGTTGGGATAGGCGTTGGGCTGGGCTGGTCGATACCCCTTTTCATTTACAGATGGGCATATCTCTTCGGCGAAAATGCCTTCATCTGCTTTACAAACGCCTTAGATTATTTCGCTGATGCATTTTTGGTAGGCTTACGAAGTTACCATCTGGGTACCTCCAGCTTAGATATTTTCAGAATCGATGATTTTCCAACTCTTCCTTACTCAAACCCACCCACCTCCATTCCTCAAAACCTCCTCATCCCCCTCCCTATCGTCACAAAATCCCCCCATTCTTCCCTCCGGATCCCACTTCCTCCTAACCTCCCTCAGTCTCCTCGCACACTCATCACTCCAAAACCTCGCCCTCCTCACCCTAAAGTCCGCATCCCCCAAATAACTCCCCACGGCATACTTCTCCACCCCTTTGAAGATATCCCTAACCCACCCCGTACACCGCTCGTCGTCTTTTTCATCAGACCAGACTGTATAAACAGCAAAGTAATGATCACTCTGCATCGACAGGGCCATTGGTTCTCCTTGGGGATCTAGGAGCGGGCGACGGGATCGGGGGTTCATGGAGAACCAGAGAGCGGAAGATTTGACCGTTGGTAAAGTCGTAAAAGCTTTTTCGAGAACGTCGGGGACTGATATAGATTCCGCGGTCTCGTGTGCTGCAAAGCCGGATGAGGAGGCCGGGGTCCCAGAAGAAGACGACGAATCATTAGAAATATAAGCGTTATCACAGCAATACCTATGTCCCCACGGGCTGGCTAACAGTTGCTGTTTGTACTCTTGCGTGAGCGAGGTAGATTGGCAGAAGACCAGGTGTTTGGTGCCGGGCGGGTGCAGGTCGTGGATGGGTTGCAGGGCGGCGAGGGCGGCGGAGCGGGAGGTGGTGAAGAGGGTGAAGGAGGCGAGGATGGTGGGTTCGGGGTCGTAGTCTGCGTCCTTTGCCGGGTTCGGGTCATATGGGTTCTTGGTGGAAGTGCGGAGGTGGGAGGAGACGCAGACTACTTCCATGCCTGGGTCGCAGGTTGGTGCGATCTGGAACGGGCAGGGGTGGGTGAGTAGATGAAACTAGGTGGTAGAGAGAGATGACATGAGGAAGGGAAGGGAAGGGCAGGGGAGGGGGGTAACACACGTTGATTGCCCATTGCAGGACTTTCTTGAAGAGCGAGACAGGGTAGAAGTACAGGCTTTGGTACATCTCCAGAAGTGGCCGTGTACGGAGGTAGAGACGAGTGACGATGGCGGGGAATCCGGGGCCTGCTCCTCGCGCTGCCCAAAAGAGATCGGGGTGGGAGTCTTTGTTGATGAGAAGGTGTTGGCCATCGGCTGTCACGACTTCCATGCTGATGACGGATTCACATGCCCATCCCCAGTTCTGTATGTGGTGTTATCAAGCTTCATGTCAGCATCATAGAGATAGGTACTCACTCACATCCCAACTCAAAAAAACTCACCTTGCAATTCCACCCCATCCCCCCTTGCAACAAAAACCCTCCCAACCCAACATCAGGACAATGCCCGCCCGCAAACATCCTCCCCTTCCCACTTCCTCCTCCCATCCACACCAAAAAGTCATTCAGTTCCTGCCCCGTCATCGACGGCGGACACGCCACCACCTGTGACTCTTCATCATACCAAACACACGCCTCCGCCGGTCCTCTTTCAGCCGAATCATCCATCACTCGCTCCGTGCACCCGTACTTTCCATGATGCCCGAACCATTCTATCTTGAGAGTGTCCGGCAATTCCAACTCACATAAATCCACCAAGATAGCATCCCCCCTCACGCTCCACGCCGCCCAACTATGACCCCCGCTACGCACACTCACGCGCTTGCCTGTGGCCTTGGCGTACTCAACTACGGCGATGACTTCGGCCGTGGTGCGCGGATGGACGACGGCGTGCACATGGGGGGTGAGGGAGTAATCGCGGCGGTGGTTGAAGACCCGGCCCCAGACTGCTTGGGTGAAGTGGTCGGAAGGGGTGGAGGAGGAGGATTGGAGGACTGTTTTTCTGGGGAGGGCTGCGCCGTCGATGTCGAGATCCATTTGGTCATGTTCTTCTTCTTTTTCTTCTTGAGACGCATGGTTGTTGATCGCGGCGGCTTTGGCGTCCGCTGCTCTCTCGGCGAAGCATGCCAGGATCCATGCTGGGACCGAGGAAGAGGAAGAGGAAGAGGAGGATGATGATGATGAGGAGGGGTGGGAGGTGATGGTTAGGTGGTCCAAGTTCTGGGCGAGTGACTCCATCGACGTGGGCTTACAGGAGATACAAAATCACGATTTGTCGGTGTCGTTTGCTTTTTGAAGTGCTCCACGTTGAGGCTATTCAACTGAAGGGAATCAAGGTGAGGAAGAGGAGCGAATGCCATCATAGCTGCATCCATCTCGCTGTTCTTGGCCTGCAGGCCGAACCCACTGTTACGCTCTAGAAAACCGCTAATGGACAACTGTTTGATCAACGATATAGGTGGCTGTAGATGATCCTGACATGGGCTTTAGGTTGATTTGTTGGCGTTGAACACCCTAGCATTGGACATTGGTGTAGCCAATCATGAATTTCGAGGCTTGCGTTGTTCATGGTGAATGAAAAACTAAGTAAAAGAAGCACCTGAAGGCACTGTAAAGTCCAGCGCTGTACGAGCGGGGGTCTTAATCATGAATGGCGCCTGACAGGGTTGGGAAAGGGGGTGTCAACATTCTCAAAGTTCGGGTTAGGGTTATTTGAATGAAATGCCCGAACAACACCGACGACACTAGGATCTCTTGTGATAGTAACCCTTGATCAGTTCATTTTATGCGGTTATTATAAGGATATGGATTATCCAAAGTGCTTTTGTAAATTTGAGCAAGAGTGAAAAAGTTCGGGAAGCTTGTCAACCGGGTTGAAACCTGGCGGTCATGCCTCGACAACTTCTTCCTCTGAGCTCTGCCGCCCACGATACAGTGGTGAATACTTTTTCTACTACCAGTAGTTTGCATTTGCTTAACAAGCTAGGTAGTTTGTTTCCTTTCAAACTTACTCCTTTAATCATTCAATAGGGTAACTCGGTAGGTGGTTTGGGTGCGATGACCAAGACGTTCGTTGGCACCAGACGCGCAGAATTTGGAAGACAAGCGCGCATCTTCATGAGGTCGTCTACACTGATAACTCAATTTTCATGTCCCTTTCTCAAGAAGAAGACAGACTAACAAACAAACAGAAATACAATCAGCGGGTCATCAGTCAAAATCAAAGTGAAAACACAAAGAAAGAAACCCCCTCCAAAAAAAAGAAGTCGGCCGAATAACTTCATCCAAGCCGGATCACAGCCGGATGAAGGTACCCGGCCAGTGTCCGATAGGAGAGTTGAACTCCTGGCCTTTGTAGGTACATTTTCATATACCTGCAACGCTCTACCAACTGAGCTAATCGAACTTTGTTATTTATATGGTCATTCTCCCTTCCTTATGTACCTACCTGTAGGGATTGAGGGTTACTTAAGCGGGCGGAAGAGGGTTGGGGGAGTTGAGAGGGTTGAAAGATGGCAGAGGCGCATGTGCATGGCAGGAGTCCTGCAGGGCTGTATCATCACGTAATAAGAGAAAGACTTGGAAAGTTCAGAAATGGGAGATGTTGGTGGGCTAAGACACTGCATTAGTATAACTGAGAAGTCAAGTGCCTGTGCAAATACAGTGGGCACCACGAAATGAAGAGGCTTGACCAGCAAATCCTCGAGTCTGGTCCCTAGATAAGTCATCCGAGTCCCATATGTCCGCTGGATGACGGGTATGTCTGAATGCAACATCGACTGTGTCCCGGGCGAGGAAAGCCAAGCCAAAAGATAATACATGCGATGAGATAGAAAGCCAGGAATAGCAAACCCCAATATGCTCCGAGATCCACCTCACCTAACACCATGTCTGAGATACCCCAGTCGAACAGATTGCCTGCCTCGCCCAACTCCTACAATTCATGCCCACAGATGATGCAATATGACTGATCCAGACTCTCAAGGAGTTGAAAGTGCCATAGCCTTACACAGAAGGCTTGACTGAGAGGGGACGGCCTACCTCGTGCAATTCGCAGATCCACTTGTACTGGCGCTGTTCGTCTCCCTCAAAAGGCCACTCGAATTCCTCGGGATACGGCCCCTTCTCGCTTCCGCGGCGAAAAGGAATCTCATAACTCAACAAGAAGGGCAGAGTGCCGTTGACGAGAGGACTGCCAGTCTCGCTATCGCGCTTGAGAGTCAGATGTCCCTTGTCGTCGTATTGGTAGACGAACCCGGCCGTCAGAGCGCCCATCTTGACAGCAAGGTCGATAATGTGGGCTTTTTCCTGAAACTCCTTTTGGCGGTGCTCGGGACTTCCCTCCATGATTCCAGCCCAGAATGCTCTCTCAGACTCCTCAAAGTTGTTGGGGATCTGCCAGTTCGAGTTGAAGTCCTCGCCGGCAACCATCTGGATACGGTGCAGGCCGATGCCAAAAGGCAATGGGAACGAATCCTCCCAGTCAACGATGCCCATAACCTCGTGGGTATCGGGGTTGACGATGAGATTGCCAGCCCAGAGGTCGGCGTGGGCCATGAATAAAGGAAGTTCGCTGATCTTGTCTTGGTGCCGCAAGATCTCCATGGCAAGGGATCTGTAGGGCTTCATCTCTGGCTCGAGGGTGAACAAGAAAGGGATCAGAAAGGGAAGGACTTTTCTGACGACTGCTTCGTGGCTCTTGTCCTGGATGTAGCCCTTGGCCAACACGCGGCCGAGCGAGTTGCATAGCTTGGGGAGAATATGGACGCCCTGCTCCTGGACAACCTGGGTCCAAGTTTTGCCAACAATACGATTTGATGCGTAGATCCAGGATTTCTTGGCCAAGTCCCTAGGGTCGGTGATGACGGCTACGAGCCGGATGTTGGGAACGTATTGGTCGAACCCGGGGCAGCTTCTGGCGCGCTCAAACGGGGTGGTGTCGAGAGAGCGGAGGCGGAACTGGATGACGATGTCGGATCCTTCGTTCATGGACACAAAGACAGTCTTGCTGTCAACTCCCTGGTGCTTGCAGAAGGTGGCATCTGTAGCTTTGGCGCCCTGCTCGCTGAAGACGTTGGCCATGGCCTTGGCTAGCTCAAGCTGCTTCGTCTTGGAGTTGAGACACTCGGGCAGGTGCGCAGGAGTAACCCGACTGTACGGGTTATCCTCGACGTTGAAAACCTCTTCTTTGACCATGGTTGTATTTGGAAAGGGAAGTGATGAAGTGGTGAGTTCAAACTAGTCGCGATCCAGTCGCAAAGAAGGTGGAAGGGTAGAGGTGGGTTGTGTCGCGGAGTAGGACTTTAAACGTCGGAGAAATCAGGTTTATGTCGCCTCTTGATTGTGGTCGGAGCAATGCGGCTAACGCTTGATGTCCACGAGAGTTTGTAACTCGGTTGCTGACACGCTGCGCTGGCACGTCGTTGGCAGATCAGAGCTGTGACACTGTTGCTGGCAGATGTGTGGTTTGATGCGCGCAAACAAGAGGAAGAAGATAGTAGCCCGACAATGAGAGATACGACCCTTTTCTTTCTACGACTGTTTGACGTTTCTTTCAGTAAAGACCCGACTCTGATTGCCAGGGTGTAATGCGATAGCGATGATGGAAGCAGGATATTGCAAGGGGCGTCCGCGTTGGTTGTGCGTTGGGTTTGGACGCACTTTTTGCTTTCCAAATGTTTACGAGGCAGCGGTAAATACTTACCTGGATTGAACGAGCCGGAGTTTTCGGTCCCTCGGTGATACGTATCTCCTCCGCAAAACGGACGTTGACTCGACCTGCGCCGGAAATACGACGAGATACTGTAGAGTGGAGGGGAGGGTTAAGTTTGGACGAAAGGCCGACAGTCAGTTTCGATCGACGAGCACCTGACTTGGTCTCGATCATGTCCTGGTTTGGTGATTGTAAAGAAACACCCGACCTCGGATAGGAATCTCCTGGGTTCGATTCGTTGTGGTGCGAGGAGAAAGACGGAAAAGGGAAGAGGAAACGAAGCTGTTGAGGCTCGTGACTGCCCCGTACCTCCTTCCACACCGACCCGTCCCATACCATTCACCCAATTACACGTACAATCGAAACTTCCGACTCTTGCTAAGCACGTGCTTGTCCTTCAGTTATCTTCCACATCACCATGGTGAACCCTTCCAGTTGTGCAACCCCGACGTTTCAAAACGGCTTGAGATGAGTGTGTGATACTCGCCCGCCTTCCAACCCAACCGCCATTGTGACCGTACTGCATGATAAGGCATCCCAACCCATGTTGGACAGAAAACATGGAAGTTGACAATGGGAATTTGAAGAGGCTGAGATGTGGACGTACACGAATGGGATGAATGAGCTTAAATGACGTAGGGCAACAAGACTGCAAAGTGCAAACGCAGATGCTTCGGATGGTCCTTCACGGCGACTCACTCGAGACACCAAAATATGGAGTAGGCGACATTCCATCATCATCATCAAGCGGGTTGCACACAAACACCCTTCCCTTCAGCTATCACTACTACCCGCCCTTCTCCTACTCCTTGGGGCCATCCCTCCAAAGCGTATAATCATAATGCCAGCCCTTCCCACCCATATCCATCCGAACCTTGTAATCCTCCTCCGCCACCCTCAACACCTCAAAGTCGACATCCACAATCTGCATCTCCTCCGTCTCCGCGCCCATCACGCCCTTCTTTCCATCCCACTCTTCCCCGACCGGCGGCAACACCCCCTTCAGCGGTAGCGCAACCTGGCTCATCCCGCCCGCATTACAAAACACAATCGCCGCCGTGTTCTCACACGCCCTCGTCACACACACGCTCCCCAAGAAGATCTTTTCCGCATCGCGGCTGATCTTGGCTGAATTCTCATCCACGGCCGTCACCCACCAGTACGACGGGACAATAATCATGTCAGCGCCGTCGGCAATCAGGGCGCGGAAGCCTTCGGGAAAGGCAAGGTCCCAGCAGATGAGGAGGCCCGCCCGGATAGGAACTTGGGTCCCGTTGGGGCCGGGCTTCAAAAAGGGGGTATCAAAGGCCCGGTGGGGCCGGTGTCGCTTGATGTCCCCCGCCGTGAGGTGCGGCCGTTCGGGATGCCAGAGGTTCATCTTTTGGTAGGAACCGGCCAGGTCGCCGGTGGAGGCGGAGATCCAGTAGGCCATGTTGCGGATTTCGATGGGCTGCCCCTTCCAGGTGGCGGGTTCTTGCTTGCCGCTGTCGCCATCGTCGCTTGGCGGTTCCTTGCCCTGGAAAGA